AAAATATACAAATTTATTTTCCACATTTAAAATATTTTATAATTAATTAATACTCCAAAAATTAAAATAATTCTAGTAATTCAAATAAAATTCAAAAAATCATGCAATTTGGTCCACATGATTTTCTATTCCAGTAAAAACTTCAAGTAATTAGGCTTTTCACTTGGTGAAGTTATTAAATTTTCTTTAAAAAATCCTATTTTTTCATGTAAATAGTTATACATATTAAATTAAATTTTGAAAATAGCATTTTCTCCTCTGATATCTTAATTGACCCATTAGTGGAGTAGGATAAAAATTTTAGAGTCATTTGAATTAAATTTGATGAATTATGTAGTGATAGAACTTTAGGGGCAAAAGTATAATTTTGGAAATTTAGTCTTAATTAACATTTTGGCTTAATTCAAGAAGGGGAAATGGACAATCTTTGATCTTAAATAGCACGTTCAAATAATTGAAATGCAAGGAATTAATTGGTAGAAACCAATCACATTTTTCTTAATTAAGGGATAAGTTTGTAATTCCCTAAATTATTAAAATTTGGAAGACTATTAAATTAAATAATCCTAGACTTAGGGGTATGATTTTGAATGTCAATAACTCACTAAGTTAATACCCCTATTTGGTGTTCAAATGACATTCAAATGTTTTGATAATGAGTTATTATCACTTTAAAATTCAATTTCTTTCAAAAATTACTAATATATCTACCAAGGTCTTAAGGGCTTAGTAGTGACCTAGGCTAAATCAAATTTGGTTAAATGAGGATTAGAAAAGTGAATGTAATTAGAAATTGAACACCTTTAAAACACTACAAGCCCTAGTTAAAACTAAAATTAGCTAAATGTATTAATAACATTAACTTGCCCCTGTAAGGATCTTCACCCACATAATTCTCAAATTAAAAGACAAATGATAATCATCTTACTCTTAGGGATAATTGAAACGTCAAAGTTCACTGGTTCACTGGTTCACTGAGCATTGGAGGTATTCACAGGATAAATTATTAAGCAACATAATAAGTTTAAATGAGCTCGAGACTTTTTCACCAAGCGGTGAGAGGGAAGCATGGATCTCCTTCTTTCTCCTGACCCTTCGAATACCTCGGAGGTCTACTAAACTTAGTATGTTTTGCTTAATAAAATTATCCTTAATCGAATTAATGAGGGCTCACCAAGATATAATTTAGGATTTGGTAGATCACCAGAACCTTATTTCCCCTCTTCACATAAAATGCTTTTAATATATAAATACCCTTGCATGCATTTTGAGTTTCAGTTGAAGATAACAAGAAAGCCATCCAGGTACGCTTTTATTGTAATTTATTTTACCTGCATTTCTAGTTTCCCGTTCTTTACTTTCCAGTATGTTACTGTACTTACTCACCTGCATGTATGAACAAAAACACAAACTTGCATGTTAAACAATGATGTCATCCTGCATGAAAACCAAAAATGCTAGGATAGCCGCAAAACCGAAGACCAAAACCAAAACTAAAATCAACCAAGATAAAATTCACCGGCACAACATTCAAAATATAAGAAAACTCAAAATTTAATCACAAACATCACAAAAATCACAATTGCAATTAAATTAAGATGTCTCTATCAGATGATCAGGAATCCCTCAGAGGAGGTAACCTACGGTTGCTAACGAGGCTTCCCACTGTCTAAATGAAAGTATGGAATTCATTAAGTTGGGTTTAGTAAATTCATTTGGACTAAGTCAATCCGATAGAAAATAGTGGTACCGGAACAAGGGAACCGTAGGATCCTAATCGGCGTCGCTCTAATCAACTTTAACATGCCCCATAACATTTAAAGAACTTTACCCATAGGGTTATCTGATTTGACATCATGACCTGACACATTAGAAAACTTAAACTCGTCATGGCAAGGAGCTTGGAGCTAGCATTGTGGGCAGCATGTCCATCTTCAAAAGCAAAACATGTCTACATCAACTAAACCAATTATCATTCCTCAAAATTAAACAACAAAGTCATAGGATTTCAAGGTTGTTTGTTTATGCAACATAAATCCTCACCTCATCTTTAGGCCTTTGTACAACTCTGTTGTACAATATAAGCCCTAACTCGTCTTAGGATTTCGAGGTTGTCGTTTTGTCGATCGTCACAACCTAAATCCTCACATTTTTCAGGTTATTTGTGTGATCGTTTCACACGACTGAAAGCTCTGACTAATAAAATTGACAGAATGAAACACTTAAATATTTCTCCTCAAAACTGAAGTCAAACCATAGGATAGTTTGAGAAGTCTTTGAGGTTCTCCTCAGGGTCTGTGATAACCCCTGGTTTCTCTTCCTTTCGATTCCAGAACAATGTTCCAAATTTGAGACTCTCCCATTTGACAATTCCTAGTCTGATCTGTGAAAAGTTCTATCCTTTGACATTCTTGGAGATGATACTTTCTGATCCAAAGAGAGAGTTTTCTTAGGTGACTTCGGTCATTTAAAATGTAATTAACTATAGGGACTTGTCTCTAGAGGGAGCTTTAAGAACCCAGGTAATATAAATTGTATATAATCTTCCATATTAGGAAGGGGAACTTGTCAACTTATATAAATGGTTCTCAGACCAAATGGATGTCATAATCTCTGTAGCTTATTTAATTGATTCTCATGGATAAGTGATATGTCTATTCCTCGCGATAGATATGTCACATGTAGTGTTGTGCTTGCTTATTTAAACTATTGTTTATATGATATCGGTTGGGTCTCATATTATCAAAAATTAAAAAATTACATTATCCTCCAAGCTTCAACAACAACCAACAATTTAAGAAGAAGAAGTTGTTTATAGAAGAAGTGGTGTTACAAATGGTTAATCAGTTACAAAATCAAGGATCTATAATTAAAAATATTGAGAATCAAGTGTGACAAATTGCTAATGCAGTTAGAAATATGCCTCAAGGAACTCTCCCGAGTAATGTTGAAATTAATCCTAAAGATGAAAATAAAGAGCAAATTAAGGTTATTCAACTTAGAAGTGGAAGAGAATTGGAGACAAAAGTTCAAAAAGAAATTAAAGATGAGAAAGAAGGGATGGAAATAGAAAAGAATTAGGAAGATATTCCTTATGATTTAGAGAACCCTATTATACAACTGAAGATTAATATAAAAAAACCACCGCCTCCATTTCCTCAGAGACCGAGACAACAAAAGTTCGATAAACAATTTTCAAAGTTCTTGGAAATATTTAAGAAAACAACCATTAACATTATATTTGCTCAAGCCTTAGAACAAATGCAAAGTTATGTAAAGTTTATGAAGGATATACTTAATAGAAAAAGGAAGTTTATATATAATGAGATTGTTGCAATTAGTGAGGAGTGTAGGGCTACAGTTCAAAAAAAACATCAAAAAAACTTAAATATCCTGTTAGTTTTAATATTCCTTGTGATTTAAGCAAGAGATTTTTTGGAAAAGCCTTAGGTGATTTGGGAGCCAGTTCTAACCTTATCTTTATCTATTTTTAGAAGGTTGGGTTTAGGAGAGATTTCTCACACTATTGTAACTCTTTAGTTAGTTGATCCTTTTATCACTTATCCTAAAGGAGTTGTAGAAGATGTATTGGTAAATGTTGATCAATTTATCTTCCCTTTGGATTTCATTGTGTTAGATATGGAGGATAAAGAAATTACAATCATTCTAGGGAGACCTTTTCTTGGCTAGTTTCTCGTCGCTACCAAAAAAAATTTCAAAGCAGAACCCAATCTACTTGCTAGATAATAAACATAAACTAACAAAATCAAATTTAATTTGTTTTGCAAAATTGAAACTTACATGAAAGCTAAATATTGTGCAAGGCTTTGATTAGAGGCCTTGCACGACCAGAAGTTTGAGCATACTAAAGATAATTTTTATTTTAATATTTATGACTAATTTCGCTTAACATCCCTCAAAATAAAGCTGAAACATTCAGCTTCGATGATGATTTATTCTTAATCCCCAAAATATCTAACTATACATTTTGTTCATCAATTTTCTAACAGCATTAACGTGCTTGAAAATTTTTCATTATGAGTTTTTTATTGTATTAGTAAACTCAAGACTGCCCAAGTCATCAAGGCGGTTAAGGTGATGTCAGTTCAAGCGGCTCATCAGACGACAGTCGAAGAATCATCGAGGCCTACCACTGCAATAAAATCAGCCCAAAGAGATGCTAGCCACAATGTTTGATCAAATACAATAAACTCGGCATTGCCTAAGTCATCAAGGCGACCGAGGTGATGTCAGCTCAAGCGGTTCATCAGACGACAGTTGAAGAATCATCCAGGTCTACCACTGCAATAAAATCAAGTCGAAGGAGACACTAGCCACAATGTATGTTATATTGGGATCCTCAACCATCTCTCAAAAATGCCACCAAAAGAATACAAGTCTCAACCATCCATCCAAGATCCTCTCGTCTAAGAGAGTGCTACTTGTCGAATTGTGGTGATTTACCCTCTGCATGATGACCTAACTTTATCCTATCGACAAAAACTTCTTAGTAGAGATCGAGCTTCGACAAAACTATTATCACAAATCAACTTAACGCATCAAATCAGATCAGTCCTACTGAGCCGACCGACAACATTATGCCCAACAACACTGACATGTGTAGCCAATCATAATGATTGCGGAAGCTCTTCAGTCGGCCGAGCTGGTTAGGCCAAAAAATAGTAAGGCGGAGTGCCACAAGATAAAAAAACTTAGAATGACCTAATATCCTTAATTAAAATAGGAGAATTGAAATAGGAGCATAAATGTAACTTCATATATTATTTCTTATTTGTGAGATTATTTCATGAATAAAAATTATAGGACTCTTTTAGCCTAATTTTCATGATAGTGCTTTCTCTACTTCTCTCTACTATATTCTTTCAGTGATTCACAAGATAAATTCAGATTTAATAATAAACAAATAAAATTTTAAGTTGTAGATATATAAATAAATAAACTTTCCAATTCTTGCTACACACACACAGCAGCCTTAATACTCAACAATAATAAAAGCAGAAACTAACAAATGGCTATGTCAAACTGGTCTTTCGTCCTCGTCGCCGCCAGATGCACGCACGCTTAATGACAAAATGTCCCTTAACAACCTCTCGAAGTCCAACCTGGAATCCCCACCTACACCCACGCTCCGCCCAATCTCTGCCGCCATTTTCGTCGCCACTTGCAGGAGCTCCTCCGCCTTCTCCTCCTCCATTGCCGTCCTCACCATCTTCTCCACCATCTCCCTGCCACACACATCCTTCATATCCAAACCAACCTTCCACACCTCCCCAACCAATCTACTATTAACCTGCTGATCCCATGCCCACGGCCAACACAACATCGGTACTCCTGCCGCCGCACTCTCCACCGCC